CTGAGCAAGTCTTTTCATCTCAGCCTTGTTCTGTGTGAGTGTGTGAGCGTATCTCCCATGGTCAAGGTCAGCATGGCTGCCATTACTTCAGCACCTCTGAATCTGTTGCTTCCTGTTTCAAATGCTCTTCCCCAGGTGTCTGCCCGGCTCCCCCACACTGCCCTCAGACCCCTGCTGACACTCAGGGGCATTCTCCAAAGACTTTTCTCTTGACCAGTTTCTCTGGCGACCCTGTGTCTTCACTTTCTGACCTGTGCTGGCACTTTAGCTTTGGTGGCACTTGGGGGTACCTGACCTCACATCCAGATCTTTTCTCGTCTGTCTCCTCCCCACAGAATGTGAGCTCCATGCAGGCAGAGGCTTGTCTGACCCTGTTGTACCTCCATTTTCTGTGACAGGCTGCAGGCACCTGTGGGGGAATGAGGGAGGGATCCCAGGTCCTGAATGGAACTCCTGGGGTGAATCTGATTATTTCTGAGGTTGGTGGTATAAAAAAGTTTCCTGTCTCTGGTTAAGTTCTTCTGGTATCACACTGATACAAATTGTTATTTTTATCATCTGTTTTCAGGACCTATTGCTCAGTGATGAAGAACTTGTAAAACTTTCTGTAATCAAGGATTTCCTGCCCCTCACACTTCCAGATCATGAGATTTCCCTGTTGCTAAGGCCCTCCCCATCCTACTCTATTCTTCTGTCCTCTCCCCTGAGGTCTCAACAGGAGCCCTCTGTCCCCTCTCAGAGCACTGTCCTCCCCAGGGGACCCTGTCAGTCTCTGTCCCCATCCTCCCATCCACCCACAGTGATTGCCCCTGGTTACTGGCCAGTAGGAGCCCCTGCCAGGGGACATGCCCTCTGTGGGCAGGGGCTGAGGGGGATTCCATGGTGTCTGCTGCCTGCTCTGTCCCTCCCTCTGTGACAGGAGCGTGGATTCAAGAAGTGCTCAGGGACCCCACTGTTTCGATGGGTTAGAGCTGCTGTCCCTCCACCCTGTGGGTAGATCTTCCATGGGCAGGAGCACCCACTGGCCAGTAAACCGGGGGGTGGTCTGTGCCCAGCACCCTCCCTTCTCCCTCCATTCAGTCTTGTTTCTCCTGTCCCCTCCTTCTTGTTTGCCCACTTTCATGATAAGTTTGATAGGGACCCATTTCCTGAGAGACTGTCTCTCTCCCACACTGGTTTTGGCCTCTGCTGTGTCCTGGTTTTGGGTCTCTCAATACAACACAGAGAGCCCCAGCTTCTCCCAAAAGCAAGTGACTATATCAGTTTGTGACACAGAAACCCAGCTGGGCACCAGGTCTTCCCCACCTTCTCTAATGCTCTGGGACACTGGGTTTCCCCTTAGCAGGAAGGTCACAGAGATGACACTGGGGAGAGAAGGGGTCAAGTGGGTGAGGACTGGGGAGAGGGACCCCCTCATATCTCTCTGGGGCTCTAGCCTGGGCACAGCTTCCAGGGACAGAAGGTCAGGACCTGGAGGTCCCAGCAGGACTAGTCCCTAGAGGTGTGAAGTGTGATTCTGTGTGTCCTGGGAGGAGAGGCCATGGGGGTGGGTCAGCTGAGCTGTGGGACACTGGTCCTGACTCCCTGTGCAGTCAGGGGGCTCAGTCCTGCCCAGTGCTGACATCACCTTGGATCTGGGTCAGGGGTTCTGGGCCTGGTCAGGACCCTGTGTGAGAAGAGCAGGTGGTGCCAGGAGACCCACAGCAGGGAGTGGAGCTGCTCACAGCTGAGAGGTGAGGGTGGGTGTGGTCAGTGTCCTGGTCCTGAAGGAGCTAGTCCCTCACACCTGTGCACACCTGTCCTCCTGACTTCCTGAGGGTCCAGGACCCAGGTCCTCAGGAGAACCCTCAATGGTGCCAGTGTCTGTGTGTCTTCCTGTGTCCTGTCTGGTCTTCAGTTTCTGCTTCATTGCTTTGCTTCTGTCCCTGTGAGCACTCCCTGAGCATTTCCTCTGTGCCAGCAGTGGGCTTGGCCTGGGGTCACCACAGAGACAGGCCTGAGTGAGTTGGATCCTTGGAGCAGAGAGCCAGGCACTTAGTCAGCAGCTACAGGAGGGACTAGTGAGTGATAATCATGAGGGAGAGAGAAGGGCAGCACCTACTGTGGTGGGAGCATATGTAGACTCTTCTGGGAATGTCCCCTCTGTGCTGTAGGCAAGGCAGTGGCCTAATCCTCAGGGGCAGGGGGATTCCCTGAGGCTGGAGCATGGTCAGCCTCTGAGAGGTCACCCCTGAGTGCAGCAGTCGGCTGTTTGTGGGCAGTGCCAAGAACTGATGTGCAGCCACTTACAGTAGGGTCATGATTCATAAACTGGAACAGAGTCAGGTTCTCCCGGTGATAACATCCCCCTGGTTGTGTCTTTCTCCTGTGGAATAGGAACAAGTGGCCTCACCACAGTCCCTTCTCATGGCATCCACCATGCTGCAGCCCCTGGGAGCAACATCTTGAGATCCCATCTGTGGTGCTGAGGACACGCAACAAGGGCTTGAGTGCTGGGAGCTGGGAGCTGTGTCTGCTTTGTTTTCATTGTTCACAAGGAGCTTTACTGACAGGAGGAGGTGGAGGGGGCTGCTGGGTGTGTGGAAGGGCCACTGTCTCCTTCCTTGTGGGCAGGAGGGTGTTGTGAACGTCACTGCAGGAACTGACCTCAGAGTCAGCAGGACCAAATCCAGGCTTCCCAGAGGCAGTTCATGGTGGAGGAAGATGATGGACTCAGTCTGGAGGGGGGTGGTAGACAGAACAAGGGCCCCTAAAGTCCATATCTTTGTCCTGGAATTTTTGAATATGTCAGCTAACAGAAGAAACTTAAAAATGAGAGATCATGTGACTTGAGAGTATTTGGTTAACCTTTGGGCGTATGGAAATCACAAGGTCCTGTCCTTATAAGGGACAGAGGGGGCAAGAGAAGCAGAGACCCAGGTGGAGGTGTGGTGGGGGCAGCAGAGCACAGGGGCTTCAAGATGCTGCACTGCAGGCTCTGAAGATGGAGGCAGGGCCACAAGCCAGGGGATGCAGGTGCCTCTAAGCACTTGAAGAGGCGAGGACACCAGGGAGACCCTCCAGAAGGAATGAGCCACGTCTACACCATCATGTGTGCTGTGTGACTCCAGGAAGTGTGTGGTGATTGGCTGCGGCAGCTGCAGGAAACCTGCAAGAGGCATCACCTTGTCTAACCCAAACTTTTGTGGATTGGGATAGGGAGGGAGTCCGAGGTCGGTTGTGATGTGAACCTGTAACGGTTTGTTACTCTGTCTCATCTCATGACAGACAATATTCAGGCAACAGGAATGTCCTCCTGAGCCTCCGTATTGGACCAGCTTTGCTTGGGTGAACGTAGGCACCCTGACCCAAGTGGATGTACCTGGGAACAGCGCCCATCCTGGGCCCTCAGGGAAGGACTGAGAGCTGCAGGTCCAGGTGCGGAGGGGGCTGCAGGTGAGGCCTGTGTGGGAGGAGCTGGGTCAGGTGCAGGAGGAGACATTTGGTCCCATCTCCATGGGGTCCTAGGTGAGAGTTTGTTGGTGGAACAGCTGGGTGCTCAGTTGTGGAAAGGACTCTGTGTCAGTGAGATCCAGGTGCAGTAGGAGAGAGGGGACTGATGGGAACTGGGGGCTGAGGTCATGGACAGGCCAAGGAGGGGCTGCTCAGGGCAGGAGTCCCTCCCACCTTGGTTACTCTGACAGCCTCTGTCTGTGTCCCCCAGATGTGAAGATGACCTGAGGGCTGGCCTTTGGGTCAAAGCACAAACTCATGGACAGAGCCCAGCTCCCTGGATCCTGGATTTGGGGATCGATAACTTTGTTTGTGGAGGCCACCAGCGTCCAGGGGAGGAAGGAGGAGGGACACAGGACACTTGGACACTCAGAAGGGGCTCCACTCAGGAATATGGCCTCACTGGGGGTACAGGCAATGGACCTGACAGAAGGATTCTTGCTCACCTTTGTGAGAACACGAGATGACTCCTATTGGGTGACCCTGAGACGCAGGGCACAGGTGCAAAGGGACAAACCTGGGGAATGTCCATGGCCTGGTCCCCAGGGTCGTGTCAGGACAGCCCTGGGCTTTCCTGGTTGGTTCAGCTCCTCTTAATTCTGCAGTTGCTTTATTTTTATTTTATAATTTACTTTTATTTTTTAATTTACTGATTGTATATGTGAGTGAAAGAGAGAGAGAAACATTGGTTGGTTGGCCCGCCCACGCATGCACTCACTGGTTTCATTCCTGCATGTCCTGCACCAGTGAGGGACCCGTAAGCCTGGCACAAGAGGGAGAGGCTACAACCAACTAAGTGACCCAATCAGGGCTCTGCTTTTCCTGTAACACCGCCCCCCACCTCCACACCCACAGTGTCTCCTCTCTCCCAGGAAACACAGACAGCAGCCTAGAGAGTTCTTCCCCTTGAGTGATCCTGGAGCAAAAGGACTGAGTTCAGGTGAATTTTTGCTAAAGAAGTTCCCTTTCAGGCCTGACTGGTGAGGCTCAATGGGATGGGCATCGTCCTGCAAACCAGAAGGTCACTGGGTCAATTCCTGGTCAAGGCTCAGGTCTGTGTTGGAGGCCAGGTCCCTGGTTGGGGGCGTGTGAGAGGCATCAAATCCATGTTTCTCTCTCACATCGATGTTCCCTCCCTCTTTTGCTCCCTCCCTTACCTCTCTCTCTATGTATGAATGAATAAAACCTGTTTTAAAAAAGTATACATGGGTAGAAAAAGAGCAAACGAGGGGAGGGTCCCCTTTATTCAGATCACACAGGTGGTCCTCAGAGCCTCAGTGGCCCTGTCCATTTCTGGAATATGGAGCCTTTACCCTGGCCCATCAGGGTCAGGGTGGCCAGTTTGGGTCATCAGTAATGAGGAAGGACCCCAACCTTGGGCCGAGGTCCCTGAATATCCTCAGAGCTCAGGGCTGGTTCTCTGGCTCAAGCTGCAGGTCCTGACCCCCCTGGGTCTGGGTCTCAGGCTGTCCCTCCCCACAGCCCTGGAGGAGCAGGACCCGGAGGAACTAGGAAGCCCCGTCGGCTTTGGGGCTGATGCGGCAGTACACATCTGTGCTCAGGTGCAGCAAGTCCTGTGAGGGAAAGAGAGGCTCCTGAGCCCTGCAGCCCCCTCAGAACAAGTGCAGTGTTTCCCAGGGGTGCTGGGGCCTGCTTGTGCTGGGGGTGCCTGTCCCCTGGGGGCAGGTCCTGGGCCTCTGTGACCTGCAGGACAGAACGTTCATCACCCACACTCACCTCATAGATGGGGCTGGCTGTCCTGGGGCCGGGGAGGGGGCCCTGTGCAGGGGGCAGAGAGAGGGCATCAGGGGACAGGGCGGGGGGCCATTTCTGCACAGGAGTGACAGCTCTACCTCCTGAGCAGCTGTCCCCATACCTACCTGTCACCTTGCACCCCAGTTTCAGTCTGTGCTGCACCCCTGTTGCCGTTGTTAGTATGGGAACCCAGGCTAGTGCTCTCAGTGCCTACTCTGTCCCATGCTGGACCCCATGGTGCCCCTCAGTCCACCCCAGGGATCCAGTGCAGACTCAGGACTGGGTTGGGGTGTGCCCTTGATGTGGGTGCCCCTTCCAGGCCAGGGTGGGGCAGGCTTTTTGCTGGCTCTCTGGGGGTGGGTCTGTGCTGTGTGGAGAGTATGGATGGTGCCCCTGCCCTGAGCCTGCACAGCTGGGACCCTGGGTGGAGAGATGGGAAAGGGACAGACTCACCGTGGAGGTGGAGGCTCCAGAGGAACCCTGGCCTGGGGGCAGAGACAGAAGTTAGCACCCAGGGGTTGAGGATGCTTCACCCATGGTCCTGGAGGGGGTGGGACTTTGACTCCCAGACAACCAGGGATGACAGAGCATATCCCAGAGACAGACCCTCTGCCATCTTGGGGTCCAGTGAGGGAGGTGGTGACACATGGCACAGCCCGACAGGTCAGGGGTGATGGGCAATCAGGGTCCCCTGTGCTGTGTGGGTCATGAGAGCTTCACCATGAAGCCCAGGGAAGGGTCAGAGCCTGAGGGGGACAGGCAGGAGTGAACACTGTGGGGCAGGTCCGGGGCCCAGCCTCTCCGAGGCTGAGCAGACACTCACCTGGGGTGGACACTGGGGGCCGGTGTTTTCTGAGGCCTTGTGGGTCACTGGCCCTAGGAGAGGTCAGACTTATTTGTGAGGGGAATAGGGAGAGCTTTTGTGTCACAATGGGGGAGAAGGAGGGTCTCCCTTTCCATCAGAAGGTGGGGACCTCTCTCCATTGTTTAGGAAGGGGAGGGCACAGGACAGGGAAACTGAGGCAAGACCTAAAGTATCCATGGCTGACCTGGTCCCATAGAGTAAAACCTAAAGGCTGATGGGGATGGAGAAAACGACAAGGCAAGAGACTGAGGACCCAGGACAGGAACCACCCCAAGGGTCTGACTTTGTGGGAAGGTGAAGGCCACAGAGGGAAGCAGGCCTAGCAGCTTGTGCAGGACACTGGGGGCACTGTGACGGCTGCCTCTGGATGAAAGTGGTGCCCAGCTGGGGACAGACCTGCCCCTCAGGCCCAGGATCTGAACTGTGACAGGGGCCTGTCCTCTGTCTCCATCTGCCTGCACTGGAGGCCAAAACAGCAGCACAGGGTCTGCTGTCCTGTCCAGGCCCAGGTCTCCTGTCTCACACATCAGGGGTTGTGGCTCCCAAACTGGCCACGTGGGGGCGCCTGAGCCCACCCAGCCTGGGCAGGCTCTACCACCCTCAGCTATGTGACCTCAGCCAGGATGCCCTTTAGATCCTGGAGCAGCAGATCCCCCTCACAGGGTGGGTGGATTTAGAGAAACAGCAGCAGGTCCTCACTGAGCACTTACTCCCTGGCAGCCCCGTGCAGGTGTGAGGAGTGAACTGGGACCATTCTGAGGGGACAATTCCTTAGTTGTGGCTCATTTATAGATGAGGAAGCTGTTGAGAAAACTGCCCTGGTCAGCAGCTGGTGCAGGAGGAGCTGGAGGGAGTGAGTTAGGAACATCCATGGGGAAGTCAGGAGGCCACAGAGACCCAGCCCAGCATCAGGGAGGGGCCTCCATCCTCCTGGCCTGGGGTGTGATGGGGTCAGCCTGTGGTGGGGGCAGAACTCTGGTGAAGGAAATGCCATTGTACCTCCCAGTCCTCCTGTGGTACAGGAAACACCCCAGGGAGATCCCCAGAGCCACCACGAAGAGGACCCCAATCACGATGCCAGCAATGGTCCCTGTGGAGTAGCCTGTGTAGTCATTTTCTGCTGAAAGAAGGGAAAAGACAGGGTTGAGGCCCAAGTCCACTCAGGGGAAACCACAAGGGGCCTTGCAGTAGGGAGGCCTGGTTGGGGGGAAGGAACTGTCATCGTCTGTATGTGGTTTCTGAATGTTGTCATCCCACTGTCTTTGTGAGAAAAGGCCTTTAGAAACCATGGTGAACCTGGTCCTCAGGGGAAGGGCCCACAGGCAGATGGGGGTGGAGAGGCAGTGACCAGGGAAGAGACTGAGGACCAGGACAGGAACCTCCCCGATGGTCTGACTTCGTGGGAAGGTCAAGGCCTCACTTGATCCCCTGCCTGGGTTTGCATCCTGTCATTTCACACACTGGAACCTTCCACCAGCTCTAACTGTGCACATGCTCTCACACTGACACTCTATCATCCTGTTCACTGTCCTCCTGACTCCTCTCCCCTCTCCCCTTGTGTCCCTTCCCTCTGTTTCCTCTTCTCCAGCCCTGATGACAGTCTCAGAGGGCAGGCCCAGAGGTGTCCACTCAGTGCTGATTCGTGGTAAGGATGCACTGACTGTGTTCAGTGGCCCAGGAAGGGTGGGAATCCCTGTCCATCCTCTGATCCTTCCATCCCCATGAGGGGTGGGTGTCACCCCCTAGGAGCACAGACAGAATCTGGGATGTGAGGTGCTTAAAAACTACTGGAGGTCACAGAAGTGGAGAGTGATAAACAACATTTTCGGCAGGTCTTGATTTACAGCTGATGACAACAACGTTCATACAAATAATATCAATATTTGACAGCACTGACGGAGTCCTAAATGTGAGTGACCCTGTCTGAGGACTCTAATGTCATAAATGTTATGATAAATATCCTCACAACATTTCTAAGGTCCAGCTGTTTCATTCCAATTTCCAGAGGAGGAAACTGAGGGTCAGAAGGGAAGGCTTTTCCTGTTTGTTAAACAATTTATAAGACAATGAGAGCAATGGGTGCAGACCAGCCAATCTACAGGACCTTAGGACCCCAATAATTCTAACCCAATGGATTTCTCAGTGTGAACAGAACTCTCATGTCCTGGCCTGTGGACTGAATATCACAGAGAAGAGAAACCTCTAGAGAGAAGCAGTCACAGTTTAACAAAGGCTGGGATTCAGCCTTCTTGGCACACTACACTCTTTGTGGCACTGCCCCTTCTGCCCCATGAAGGGACTTCATGCAGGAATCTACCTGTCAGGTAAGCACCATCACTCCCTGCTCTCCTCTGGAACATCACACATGCTGGTGTCACACTGTGTTACACAGCTGGTGACCTCAGAGCCAGGACACAGCTCAGAGGCGGGTACACTATGCCTGTTTCCATGCAGCCTGACCCGAGGGAGCCACCCACTGATGGGTGGCTCAGTTGGGCCAGACTGAGGACAGGCCACCCATGCAACTTCTCCAGGGCCCTATCTCTGCACAGGGGGCAGCAGAGTGAGGTGCCAGGTGAGCCTGGAGCAGAGCAGGGAACAGGGGACTGTCCTGCTCACCCTCCTTAGGAGGGGTTTCACAATTTTGTTTGGAAAGAAAGAGGTGAGCTTGACTCAAAGCCTCATATGTTTTCTGGAGCACATGGAGTGAGTCACAGAAAAGAAGGAGGTGAGAGAAGGAAGGAGTTAGTGACAGAAGAAGAAGGTTGATGATGAGGCCCCTTGTGTTTCCCACTCTGTGGATTCCTCTCCACTATGTGGAATTTTTCTGGGGCTGAGAGAACCCCATTCCTCATTTCTGAGGCTGAACCCCAGCTCTGCTATGACAAATGAGAAGACTAAGGGGAAGAGATAAACTACAGAGAGGTGGGGGAGTGTTCAGGGGAAGAATCTGTGATTTGCTGTGTCCATGGGCACAGGATGGAGACAATTCCAGGCTCTTTTCTGAAAACCAGACCAACCTCCACCCCAGAGCTCAGTGCTGATGGTCCAGGAGGCACTTACCAGTCAATTTGATGGTCCTGACTGTGGTCCTATTGAGACCAGTGACAGAGTTATGGGCAAGGCAGGTATAGGATCCACTGTCACTTGCAGTGATGCTGGGGATAAAGAGCTCCTGTGTGGGCTGCTGGGGTCTCCCATTGATAAGCCAAGAATACTGTGCAGGTGGGTTAGAGGCTGTGTGGCAGGAGAGTCTGAGGTTTGCCCCTGGTGGGTAATGGGAGTCCGGGAGGGAAATGGAGGGGGCATCCGGGCCATCTGGAGCAAACGGAGCAAAGCCACACATGATGTCATCAGAGGGAAGGGGAAGCTCCTGGCCTGTGTAAGGGCCCCAGTGTCCCTCTGAGCTAGGCCCCATCCTTGTTGTGAAAGGTCCCAGCCATAACCCTTGTGTTCACTAGGATGAGATGACCTGTTTGTCCCAACCCTGAGGCCCACCTGCATTTTCCTGGGACAGGGAGTCATGACCACCATGGGTGACCAGGGTGAGGGTCTATGTACTTGGGCTGAGGGGGATGTAGCCTGGCCTCTGGCATGTGGATTTGGGTGGCAGCCTGGACCACACAGGGACAGAAGTTACTCACAGAGAACATTCAGGGTGAAGGGGTCACTGCGGCCAGCACTCACTGGGTTCCGGGTTTCACACTCATAGGGTCCTGTGTCAGTCCTCGTGACATGGAGCAAAGTGAGAGTCCTGTTGTCCTTGGACAGCTCCAGCCTTGTGCTGTCCTGGAGGCTCTGACTGTTGATCAGCCACAGGTAGGTGGTGTCCTCAGTCTCAGGCTCACATGTTAACAGGACAGGGTCCTTGTGCTCCTCAGGGTTGGAGTTGTTGCTTGTGAGGCTGGGTTTGGGTAACTCCGCTGTGCAGGTAACAGAGAGAACATTGCCCAGGGTGGCACCTTTGACTTTTTCAAAGGCATCTTCAACCAGAGTTGGCACCTCTCATCTCTCAGCTAACTTGAATCCTTGAAAGAACAAGGCAAGTCTGTGTATCTCAAGACAAACAAATGCATGAGGATCTGAATGCTCAGAGAATGTAAGGCCTCCAGCTCTGTGCCTGGAGAAAGTACAGACTTTCTCAGAAGTCAATTAGAGTATCAGGGTTTGATCATGGGAAGATGTAGGCCTGGGAGTCAAGAGACCACTGGGCACATGTCCTGGTTTTTCACTGACCAGCTGACTGCCTGACTGTCCTTGAGATCTTATATGGAATGTGTAGGTGCTGAGTCCCTTTAAGCTGCATCGACCTACACTGCTGGGTCAAGATGTGTTTCCATGGTAGCCTCACATTCCAAGGCTATCCTAAGGATGAGTCATGAAGAGTCTCCCATAGTCCTTATACCTTGATGAGACTGGGCAGTGTGGCCTGGGACTGGGTGGTTGAGCAGAAATAATCCATGGGGAGACCAGAAGCAAGTCTTGGGATCAGTTCAGGACTGAGGCTGCAGGGCCATGAGGTGGGCAGTGTGCCTAGGCCTGGTGACTGTTTCATTGGTGACTGACATGAGACAGTGACCACAGAAAGGGTTGATCAGAGTGCAGGAGTGATTTGGAATACAGTGAGGGACACAGAGCTGGCTTTGGCAGCAGAACCAGGCTCTCTGCCCTCGGTCTTTAGTGTCCTGTCTCCCACTGCAGCGCGCAGGACCCTTCCTAAAACATTCAGATAACAGCAACTACAGAAGGGTGACTTGTGGGAAGTGGGGGAGCTGGAACTTGCTGAAAATATGGCCCTCATGGACTATTTGTATTTGGCATTAGAGATAGAACTTTGAGTTAAATTGTGAAAGAATATGTGAAAATCATTATTCATGCCTCAAAGGTCTAAGACCAGTCTCTGGTGGAATCTCTCTGTCTAGAGAACTTTCAAGGTCACAGACCAAGTTCTGAGTCCAACCGGGACACACTGTGACCAAAGGAAGAAGCTACAGTGGGTTTGAAATCAGGGACTCCCCTATAGCAACAAGAAAAATAAAGTATCTAGGAATAAACATAACCAAGGGGGTAAAAGACCTATACTTGGAGAACTACAGAACACTGGAGAAAGAAATTAAGGAAGACACAAACAAATGGAAGCATGTATCATGCTCATGGATTGGCAGCATTAACATAATTAAAATGTCCATACTACCTAAAGCAATTTATAGATTCAATGCAATCCCTCTTAAAGTACCAGTGTCATATTTCACAAATTTCAAACAAATATTTCAAAAATTTATATGGGACCAAAAATGACCCTGAATAACCTCAGCAATCTTGAGAAGATAACAAAATAGGAGGGATGACAATACCTGACATCACACTATACTTCAAGACTGTAATCAAAACAGCCTGGTACTGGCATAAGAACAGACACATAGGCCAATGGAACAGAATAGAGAGCCCAGAAGTAAACCCAAGTCTCTATGGTCAACTCATATTTGACAAAGGGGGCAGGAGCATAAAATGGAGTAAAAATACCCTCTTTAATAAATGGTATTGGGAGATCTGGACAGCTACATGCAAAAAAATGAAACTTGACCACTAACTTATACCCCACACAAAAATAAATTCAAGATGAATGAAAGATTTAAATATAAATTGTGAAACCATAAATGTCCTAGAGGAAAATACAGACAGTAAAATTTCAGATATTCCATGCAGCAATATTTTCACCAATGTATGTCCTAGGGGAAGGGAAATAAAGGAAAAAAATAGACAAGTGGGACTACATCAAATTAAAAGCTTCTGCATGGGTAAAGAATACATCATTAAAATGAAAATGGATCCAACCATATGGGAAAACATACTTGCAAATGATATCTTGCACAAGGGTTTGATCTTTAAAATATATGAAGAACTCATATGACTCCACACCAGGAAGACAATCCAATTAAAAAATCAACAAAGGACATGAACAGATACTTCTCCAAGGAGGACATTCAGAGAGTCCATAGACATATGAAAGGATGCTCATCATCACTATCCAACAGATAGATGCAAATTAAAACCACTATGAGATACCACTTCACAATGGTCAGAATGGCCATCATAATCAAATCAATAAACAACAAGTGTTGGAGAGGTTGTGGAGAAAAGGGAACCCTAGTGCACTGTTGGTGGGAATGCAGACTGGTGCAGCCACTGTGGAAAACAGTGTGGACTTTCCTCAGAAAATTAAAAATGGATGTGCCTTTTGACCCAGTGATTCCACTGCTGGGATTATATCCTAAGAATCCTGAAACACCAATTCAAAAGAACTTATGTACCCCTGTGTTCATGGCAGGGTTATTTACAATAGCCAAGTGCCACAGACAGCCTAAGTGCCCATCAGCAAATGAGTGTATCCAAAAACTGTGGTGCATTTACATAATGGAATACTATACTGTAGAAAGAAGGAACTCCTGCCATTCACAACAGCATGGATGGAACTGGAGAGCATTATGCTAAGTGAAATAAGCCAGGTGATGAGGGACAAATACCATATGATCTCACCTACGATTGGAACCTAATGAACAAAACAAACTAATGAGCAACACAGAACCAGAAGCATGGAGACAAGGAACAGACTGACAGTGACCAGTGGGTAGTGGGGGAGGGATACAAGTGTGGGAGTAAGGGGAAGGGACTAGTCAAGGGACATGTATGAATGACCCACAGACACGGACAACAGGGTGGGGCCTGTCTGTGGGAGCAGGTGGTAGGCTGGCTGGAGGAGAGCAAAGCAGGAAAAATCGGGACATCTGTAATAGAACAACAATAAAATATTTACTAAAAAAACAGTGACACTCTGGAGAGAGAATGTGAGTCCTGCTAAGAGGACAGAAGTGACCAGAGGGCACGTGTAGGTGTGTCTGTTGCACAAAGGGAGCAATGACACAAAATTTCTAGAAAAGATACATGTTATGTTGGTACACGTAGGAAGAAGAACTCGGTTACCAGTTTCTGTGGGCAGTCAGGCCAATGGGAAGGGACCCACACACAGGCTGTGGCATGTGCTCTTCCTTTTCTTTCTAACTCAGGAAACCAAACTAGAGTTTGAGCAAGTTCATTCAAACTGGGCTGCACCTAAGAGAAAGGACAGAGGCTGGTGCACCTCACCATCTGAGAGTGCCCCACCCCATGACAAAGGTGCTTCATGAGGGCACATGTGTGTGACATAGGCAGTGAACCATCAGATGGTGCAGGGTCACCAGTCCCCCTTGGGAAGGTCTCCAGGTCCCTGGGAGGAATGGGAGCCTCACACCACGTGGTTGTGAGTCACGAATCGGGTGAAGTGATCCTGTGAGCTTTTGGGGACTGAGGCCTGTCCTTCTGCCTTTGATTCCCTGGCTGAGTCACACAGAGAGTAGATCAGTGGGTTACATGTCCCTGTCAGGTGGCCTGTTCCTGTTCTTGGCACGAGGGAGGGAAGGAGCCCTGGATGGGGCACAGCAGAGGCCCTTTCTCCTGGTGACCTGGGAACCTGTCTCCTGATGGAGCCGGGGCTGCTGCTTGGACTTGTATGTCCTTTCCTGTTGCCCAGGAGGGTGGGCCTGGGCACAGTTGCTAGTGGGAGAATCCAGGGAGCCTGCAGGGTGGAGGGGGCAGACTAGAGCAGGGCAGTGGGGCTGGAGTGAAGGAAGAGGTAGGTGAAGGACATGGAAGGAGCAGAGAGAGCCAGAAATGTCTTTGGTGAGCAGTGGGGGTTACAGGTGACTTCAAGGACCCCCCGGACCAAGAGCCCAGGGCTGCCCCAGGGCTGGACCAGTGTAGCCCAGAAAAGCCTCTAATGGCCGAGCAGCCCCACATTCACCTTAAAACTTGGGTCCTGCAGGGGCTTTAGGGACAGGTGTTCAGAGGGATGGAAAGTGGGTCTGTGCCCCTGGAGGGACAGGGAACAAGTGTGACCAAAATCTCCCAGGGCTCTGTATCTACCTTCCATTCTCTATAAAGATTATAGATTATAGGTTATAATCTATAGATTATAGATTACATCCTCATTCATTCATTCACCGTAATTCTTTCCTTCTGCATCAGAAGCAACTGGGTGTTTGTTACATGTTGGTCCCTGAGCTGGTTGCAGGTGTGGAGTGAGGAGTGAGAGGCAAAGTCCTTCCCTTCACATCCAGTGGGAGTGACACCAACACATCAGGAAGCAAAGAAGGGATTTCAGTCCAGGGCAGGGAGGTGTGGATCAGCCACCTGAGGGGGAGGCCTGGGTGTTCCCAGCTCTGACTCTGATTGTCACTGCGGGTACTTTGGTTCTGGAGTGAAAACAGGTTAATTCTCCATTTCCTTTCACTCCCCAGGCCAGAATCTCTCCCTCTGAGCTGGGAACGTCTAAGAAGAAACAATCTGACTGAACAGCTGGTGTCAGGGTCTGTACATGAGTGATAGGCCTTTGGAGTGGAGGGGAGGATGGGTTGGGATTGCAGACAGACAGGTCTTGGTGTGTCTCAGACTGGACAGTCCTGGTGTGTGTGACTCTGTGTGAATGCTCCTCTGTAACTCAGTTCCCCTGAATAAAACAGGGTAGATGGTGAGCCGTCTCAGGCTTGCCAGGTTGTCTATGAATGAAGAACTTAGTTGTTTCCCAGTTTTCTGACCTAAAGCTGGAACAGAGGAGCTGCCCCAGCTAACAGCCTCTGTGACTGTTTGTGTCCCTGACAGAGGACTCTGTTCTGACCCCTGGTGGACGAGGGGCTGTGAGCAGCACCTTCTTTGTTGCTCCCTGGGGACGCTGATCTTCCTCTGGAGTCTCCTATGTCCCCCAGGGCAGGTAGCTAATGGCCTGGGGACCTTGTCCACATGTGCTTTGTACTCATAGTCTCAGGTGAAGGGCCATGTTTCACCAGTGCCCAGATGTGGCTCTTGAGGCTGAGCCCTGGCTAGTGACCAGCTTACGAGCCTTGTGACTCAGGCACCCAGGAATCCATTACTCCAAGTCAGGCCTTCCCAGAAGCACAATCCCAACCTGACACAGGTTGCTCAGGATCCCTGGAGTCATGATCCTTGGTACAGGGGTCTGGGGAAAGGCTGACCAGGCTGAGTTTCTCTGTGGGGATCCCAGGGGCACCTCACAGTCCAGGCCCTGACTGAGCCCTGCAGGGTCTTTCTCAGGGTCATGGTCATGTGGAGGGTCCAGGGGGCTGGACTGAGTCTGGTCTCTCTCTGCTGAGTTACTCTCATCAGACTGGTCCTTCTCTCTGCAGTGAACGTCTGCAGGGTTGGAATCTGGGAAGAGAGCTCCGATCTTAGGAAGTTTGTCTCCACTGTGTGTGTCCTGCTCCAAATGCCCAAACCCAGCCTGGGACGTGATGCAGGGGGGGATGGAGGCTGAGTCCAGGGTGTGAATCCTGTGTGTGAGTAGAATTCACCCCACCCGACACCCAGAGGTTAGAGAGGAAATCACTCACGGTACACGTGGAGCTGTCCAGTTGCTTTGTCACTCGTGATATCTCTCATTGTGACTTGTACGGTGTAGTCTCCTGTGTCACTCAGGGTGACCTTCTGGAACAGCAGGGATCCATTGGCTTGTATTGTCTCTCGACCATTGTGTGCATTCCCCAGGGTACTTGCTAGAGTGTCTTTGCTATAGGTTACAATGAGATGGTTCCTTTCCACATTTTCCCCTCTGTACCAGGCATAGCCTATAACATTCTCAGTTAGATTGAGGACAAGGAGAAGCACATCCTTCCCTTCAGTAGCATTGGGTGGCACTGACTCAATAGTGAGTTGGGCAGTGGTGGGCAGGTTCCAGAAAGTTGAGAGTGAGACTAGGAGGGAACAGAGAAATTGATCAATATTTCGGTCTTTGTATTGAGGGAAAAGATAAGGCCTTAGGTCCTGAGCAGGTCTCTTCATCCCTCAGCCTTAATGAGTGTGAATATGTGTCTCCCAAGATCAAGGTCAGCAGCATGGCCACCTCTGGACCTGTTATTTCTTCTGTTTCAAAAACTCTTTCCTAGGTATTTGGCCAGCTCACCCCCTCACTGCCCTCAGACCCCTGCTGACACTCAGGGGGGCCCTAGGGAGACACATTCCTTCACCACCTCCTTTAATCACCCTGTGTCTTCACTTTCTGACCTGTCCCTTCATGACACCTGTGGGTACCTGACATCACATCCAGATCTTTCCTTGTCTGTCTCCTCCCCACAGAACGTGAGCTCCATGCAGGCAGAGGCTTGTCTGACCCTGTTGCACCCCTGGTGCCTGCAACAGGCTGCAGGCACCTGTGGGGCAGTGTGGGAGTGGTCCCAGGGTCCTGCTCCTCCTGGGGTGTATTTTCCCGTTTGACTGGTTGGTGGTTATAAGGATGATGTTTCCTGCCCCTGGTTAAGTTTTCCTGGTGTACCCCTGGCATAAATTGTTATTATTCTCACCAGTTTTCAGAGATTCTTTATCAGTCAGGAAAAACTTTTAAAACATAATTGCAGTTTTCTTGCCCCTCACCACCTTCAGATCATGAGATTTCCCTGCTGCTGAGCCCCCTCCCGCATCCTACTCTGCTTCCCTGCCGTCTCCCTTCAGGTCCAAACAGAAGGCCTCTGTCCCCTCTCAGAGCACTGTCCTCCCCAGGGGACCCAGCCAGTCTCTGTTCCCAACCTCCCATCCACCCCCAGGGATTGCCATTCCCTACCAGCTAGTAGGAGCCCCTGCCAGGGGACGTGCCCCCTGAGGGTTGGAGCTGACAAGGACTCCATGGTTCCTGCTGCCTGTTCTGTCCCTCCCTCTGTGACAGCAGCTTGGATTCCACAAATGTTCACGGGCACTGCTGACCTGAAGTGTGCGATCTGCCGATCTGTGTCTCCAAGTGTGGTGAGCCTGCTCAGGGTCAGGAGCGCTCCCCAGTCACGTGGGTCGGGGGTGGGGTCAGTGCCCAGGTCCCTCCCTCTCCCTCCCCGATTCCTGCCTGCCCTGTTTCCTCCACGTTTCTGTTTTCTCCAATTTTCAGACCCTGGGACCCGCTGAGCCCTCTCTGCCTTCTTCCGACGTGATTCTCTACCCCTCCACCCCCAACCATCGCGCGCGTGCAGGCACCACCTGTGCGGACCCGCACAAACCTGGGACAGCAGGGAGGGGCGTTCCCCACAGCTGCAGGTTGGGTGCACAGTAGTGTCACCCTTAGGCTTCTCTTATTCCTAATGATTTCCCCTCTCCAGAGCAGGAGTCCTGAGGTGACATCAGGAAAACTTGTCACAGGGATGTTATGCCACTGTTCGTAGTTTTATCTGTGGAACTTGGTAAAGATTGTGATGCCAGGTGACTCCTTAGAAATGCTGCTTCACAGCTGTCCAACTAACGGTGGATGTACCGCCATAATAAGACCCTGTGAATAGGGGACGGGGCAGACGCTCCACTTCTGTGCACAGGGAGGGTATGCAGGTCCTCTTAAAAATGCAGATTCTGGCTTGGCTGGTGTAGCTCAGTAAACTGAGCCCCGGCCTGCAAACCAAAAGATGGCCAGTTCGATTCTCAGTCAGGGCACTTGCCTGGGCTGCAGGCCAGGTCCCTGGTTGGGGATGTGTAAGAGGCAACCACACACTGATGTTTCTCTCCCTCTCCTCCCTTCCTCTAAAAATAAATAAATAAAATCTTTTAAAAAATAGGTCCTGCAGGTCCTGACTCTGCAGGGGTGCAGTGGACCAGAGACTCTGCATCTGACCAGCTTTCTGGGAAGGTGGATTTTGCTGGCTTGGGAAGCTCATTTTCTTTATTTTTTGTTTTACCAAATATTTATTGAGCTTATACTGCTCTCCAAAGCCGTTTTCAGAAACTGCACATACAGCAGTGAGCAAAACACAGAAGTGAGAATCCAGTGCTTGTCAATAAATCTTTGGAAGGTTTCATTTGACATTTCTTGTGAACACCTAAACTTGTTCATTAAAAATGTTAAGGAGATCAGGAGCATGCTCCAATTGGGAGGCAGATGGAGACCCTTCCCTGAGGACAACCCTCTCCCCCCAGTGTTGGTCTCTGCTGTGTCCTGGTTTGGGACCATGCAGAGAGGCCCTGGATCCCCCAAACCTGGGGATTGTTTCTGTCTGTGACACTAAACCCAGGTGGGCACCAAGTCTCCTCAGGTTCTCAGATGCTCTGGGGAGGTGGGTGTCCTCCCAGCAGGAAGGTCACAGAGGTGACTCTGGGGTAAGAAAGGGACAAGCTGGGTGATGACTGGTGAGGGGACCCACCCTCTGTCTTCAGGTGTCACCAGTGTGGCTTCTGCTTCTAAGGACAAAGACCCAGGACTGGGTGTCTCAGAAGGACCTGCAGTTCCCAGGTGTGAAGGGAGAGGTGTCCTGTGTGTCCTGGCAATAAAGATGGTGGTGGGCGGTCTGGTGGCTGTGGGCTCCCTGGTCATCAGGGGACAATTTCAGGGAGACCTGCCTCTCTCTGTGTCTGTTGACTGAGCCTGTCCATGTGCTCCCTGACCATGGGGACAGCCTGTGTCCTCTGCCTGGGGACTTGCCTGTGGCCACTCAGCCTTGCCCACAGGTGGTGCCAGGCAGGGAGTGGGGAGCAGCACAGGGACCCCTGGCAGAGCAGGTGCTCCCAGGCCCCAAAAGGAGCCATGGGAGACAGCGGGCATGTGGGAGGGGCCCAGAGAGGTCTTTGGTATGGAAATCAGGCTCTTTTCTGCCTCCTTAGCCAAAGTGAGGTTCACAAGTTAGTTTCCTGTGTGTCTCCATGTCGCCCCCTGGAGGATATTAAGGAGACCTGCGGCCCACGTCAGAGCTGCACCAGGGATGCTGACCAGGCTCCAGAGGGTGGGAGCTGACACTGAGCCCTGGGCAGAGGTGGACTCTGACCATCAGGCTGAGTGGCCAGTCACCCCAGTTCCTGGTCACTGGATTCCTGACTCCATCCCAGGGCAGAGTGAGACCAGTAGAGGACAGGCATTGTCCAGCGGAGTCCTGATCCAGTGTCAGGAGAACTGTCTCCTGTGGGGATGTGGTGTCTCAGGAGCAGTTCTTTGTCCCTGAGGTTTCGAAGGTAGGGCCAGGTTAGGGGTATCCTGAGTGTTTCAGGAGCAGGCTCAAGCCTGGGGGCTGGTCCACAGATTTCCCTTTGTGTCCCCACCACAAGTCATCAGTGTCCCTGCCTGTCATCTGCTCTGGGATCCCCACAGGGCCAGGAGCTGGAGCAGCTCCACATGGAGACTCGGGCAGGGGGTGGGGAGGCCCATGTGGGACCCTCAGCCCCTCTTAGATGGAAGCGAACTCAGTCCCATCATGGGGAAATTCCCCTTGTTCTCCAGGACACCATGGCTGGCTGGTGAGATGTCTTCTGGAGACCACAGCCAGGGGTCCCAATGGACCAGGGACCCTGTGGATGGGGGAGTCATCCCCTGATTTCTGGGTGGTCAGGAGGAACTACCTTCTTCCCTGGTGGTGACTCTCCAGGGTGGAGAATCCAGAGTTGGCACCCTGTCAGGTCTTTGTGATAAGAGCAAGAGCTTCGCTGCCTGCCCTGCCCCACTCCCAGGAGATGTCACTCACAGGCCTTTTGGGTGTGACTTGCAATGTGAGTGGGCATTTACCCCTGGAAGTGCATGGAGGGTGTGTTGACAGCAGCTGCCTGCAGAGGGCCAGCCTTTGATGGGCAGATGCCTGACAGGGTAGAGGAGCTGATGGAGTCCTGTGTGGAGAGAATGGAGAGTGAGGAGGACTGTGGAGACAGTGATGCTGGTGAGGATCAGACCCTGATCCTAGGAGTCACCAGGTCTGTGACTCCTAGTCTCTGTTTCTGTAAGTACGCTGGCCCTGCCTCTTCCCTCAGAGAGATGTTACCAGGCTCACGGTTCCAGGAATGTGTATCCATTTGTGTTTGTCTCCAGCAGGCTACACTGAGGGTGCCCCTGGGTGCAGTGGTGTGTGGCTGGGTTGCTGGGTGGTGGGTCTTTGGGGAGAAGGAGGGGCAGGAACCAGGTGTGTCAGGAGGGGGAGGTCTGTGTCAGGGGAGCAGAGGGGACAGGATGTATGAGTCATGGTCCCCTCTCACTCCCAGGGCCTGGTGCCCAGGACAGGGACCCCTGGTTCTGGGGACACACAGCACCACACACTTCTCTGTGGTCCTGATTGGGTGAGCTGAGTTGCTTCCTGTGCGGTTAGCTGTGACCTGGGCCTCACATGCACCCTGTGCCTGTGGCTGAGCTGTCAGGAGTCGGGTCAACATTGATCTGGGGCTGTGGTTGGAGCTCTGTGTCACATGGGCTGTGAGGGTGAAGTCCTGGTGCTGAGCCTGCCTCCCACACACAGTCCCACCCAGGGCCCAGGCAGAACCCCTGATGCTTGTGTGCCTCACCTTCCCCTCCCCCTTCCTGGGGGTTCTGTCCTGCACTCCTTCTCCCTGGGCTCTGTGGGCAGCCTCAGCCAGTGCCTCCCCTGTTCCTGATCCAGGCAGCTGTCCTTGTGGTTGTTGCCTCCTCACATCTCTGTGCTCAGCAGCCTGTCATTTGCTCTGAGCCCTGGCCCCAGTGAGGGAGGAAGGAGGGAGCTGGGACTGGCGCTCTCCAAGGTGCTGCACTATCTGGAGAGCTGAAGAGCAAGGGGCCCTGATGTGTCCATGGAGTTAGTACTGTGTCTCTAGTGGAAGCCTCTCTCATGTACCAGAACTGATCCCTCTAGGCCAGCAGAGCATGGTGTCTCGGGCACAGGGGGCAGGGCATGTGCTAGTGGATTGTTAGAGGTAAGAATGAGTGGTGTCTGTCCTATTCCTCCACCTGGTCCCTGGACCTGGGATTCCTGGCTCTGGGAGAAGCAGCATCACCTATTCAGACCATATATGTCTTCCTGAAGTACCTTCCCCAAGCCCTGCAAGGTACAGTCACCTAGCTGGTGCTGTCACTGAGTTTTCAAAAGTCCATTTCACTTTTCTGGGAAGCCAGCTGTTTGAGGATGGTGAGGCCAGTGGCCTCCATGGGCAGGAGCCCACTGCTGTGTTCCATGTTCTGTGAGGTGAGGCCCTTGGTCAGAGCAGTGCCTGTGGGGAACTGTGGGAGGCCCTGCCCCACGGAGTTTTCCTGGCTGCCGCAGATGAGAATCAGTCATCCTGGACACAATCTGTTCTTTCAGTGGGAAAGGGGGTGGTGATTCCCTCTAATGGAGAATGCCCCGAGGCCTTCTCTGAAACAGCTTTTATTAGAATCAGAATGTGTAGGGGAATATAGCATACATGCATAGCTTATCAATCAATGTCCAAAGGCTATAGTTATTAAAAACTGATATTTTCTATAGTTAGCAATTGAAGAAGCACAGAGATCTGCCTCAGGTCAGGGTCTGTTAGACATGTTGGCACCAGATGGTTGTTAGGGTGTATTGCCTAAGGTAAGGAGTTCACTCCTTATGCTTTGAACCTAAACATCTGTTTCACACGAACAGGGGTACACCAAAGGAAAGCAGGCCTCAAAGGATACAATACATTTCCCATGGGGATCCTTGGTGTTAGTATCAGGTTGTGCCTGCTGCCTGCTTCCTGGCTTTTTAGTTGAGACTTACAGGCAAGGCTTTGCTTGCACAGGGCTACAGTTTCTGATATCACACCAAGTGGTCACCCACATCTCCCCCCTTTTTGTTTGTTATGGCGGGCACGGTGGTAAGTCCGATGAAACCTGTTACTTGCTCATTGCATATACAATCTCTGGAAAACAATTTGTAGATACATCTCAAGGCACAAAAGACTACAATAATCAGGAGGCATCCCA